GAAAGAGATCACATACAACTGGAATTGTTTTCACCAAAGCTGGATCAACAAAATATGAAATACTGCCATATGTTCAACACTTGAAATCAGCTGCTCTCTGGTACTGTGATGACTGACTTTGATCTTCAGAAAATATTCTGCTTATGACCCTTAATACATTTGGTACAGAAAATTGACTAATTCAGAGACTTCCCTGAGCTGTACATTTTCTAAACATGAAGTGCCTTCAACTGACAAGAGGTCAAGGTCAAAGCGTTTCCTAACTGTGCATATGACAAATAAACACTTTGACCTTGACCTATTTTCTATGTTTTTAGTAATAATCTTTAGTCAAATTATGTTTTATTTTTCAGTTTCATTTGTGTAATGTGTTTTTGAACACTGCAGTGTTCATAATTTAGTACTTCATGTGACACTGATATTTATACATGTGTTGCATACCTTCTGCCACTAGGCAGTGCCTTTGAGTTAGTCAAACAAGACATCATATTTCAGTGGCACATCCATAGGGCATCATTACATTACGGTCAAACTGCTACACAAAATGCATAAAATTGTCTGGAATGCAGTTATGATAAGTGTTTTTCTAAAAACTATCTGTTCTACTCTCGGATGGGAGGACCTTTTGATTTCATTGAGGTAAAGAAATGGTTAGGTGTAAATTATCATTCATGCCTCTGTCATAATTTATGTAAGTTTGATGTTTTATGCAGATAGATGGGCATGATAAAGGTTAGAAGATGGTGGTGTATACTTCTCTTGAATTATTTGCCTGTACTGTAAGCATAATTATTGAGCATTCTATTGCATCCATTTTTTCTTCTGACAGAGAAATATAAAGGGAGAAAGGTTTACAATGTTAGTATTTTTTATGCTCTTCAATCTGCAGGTACTCAGCACATAACTTTTTTACAGGAAAGATTCATTTGTAGCATAATGTAATTCATTCTTTTTGACAGTCCTCAATGCACATTTTGTTTTCCTTTTCAGAAGCCTTGCAAGCCTGACAGTTCAAGCTATGCTTGATGAGGTGGTTTTGGTCCAGGAAGATGCTGCCTACCTCACTTTGGCTTTGACCTGCAAGCACTTTGAATTTATTGATTCTGATCCTCTATTCAGAAGAAAGGCCCATTTGCCCGGCTGGCTAGTAATGATGTTTGAATAACTTTTTGAGTTACAGACTTGTCTAATTTGATTTCATATACATGTGGAAAACTGGACATCTCTTGCGGTGGTTGTATGTTCTTACTGCAATCAGCACTGCAAAGATGGAAAATACTCACATTATTACACTGACAGGATACCATGGCACTGTTGCAGCTGTCAACACTGATTGTTACCTGTGTTTAAAACCAGTAATATAAACCACTAAGTGCTGCATTTTTTCCAGACTTTGTTCCTAGTTTGATTTTTGTTCAAAGTGTACAGAGTTGTACAATTTACTTTTTATGTTCATCTGATGAAGGAGGTATGATTCTATACACATTACTGTGTAAGATGTGGATATATAAGCATTAGATAAATATTGAAAAGGTAACAGCTGTCCCTAGTAGGCTAGTGGTTAAGGCTTGGCGCTGCGGCCCAGGTTCGAGCCAGGGTTGCGACAGGAAGGGGCATCTGATGTAAAACACGTGCCAAATGTGAGTGTGACGATTCTCTGTGGTGACCCTAAACAGGAAAAGCTGAAAGTGACTTTCTAACTGCTGGACATGTCTTCACTGTCATCAGCCACTTTATTGGGTACACCTGTACTACTGTTTGCAATTAAATGCTACACTTCAGCCTCAACATCTGTGTTTATGAAATTCATAACATTTGTTTTTGTCAAATTGTCAAATGTATAAGGTCAAGTAAAGGCGGTGTTGTACTGGACTATATTATATTTAGAGGTGTTCCTAATATTCTGACCCTCTCATTTATGTAGGTGGGAGGACAGAAATATAGACACCTGTTCCTATAACATGGCCTTTTAAATGTGCTGCTTATTGTCTTTATAAAACAGTCTGATGTCTTTGAAGCAGATTCTGCACAAAATATTAATTGTTGCATTTTTAAAATTTTCATTAAAATAGATATGGTTCAGCAAATCACAAAAAAATACATCATTTATTTGCTTTGTGGATAAAGTAGTTATTTTAAGTTATGATCCATGAGTTCTATGTTGGCTTGTTATTGAATTCATATGGTTATTAGCCTGTATGTAGTGATATGAAATTTACAATTACAAGTATTCAGTGTTAATTGTTCTCTGGGAGTTCTTTGTGCATGACAGTATGTTTGTTGGCAATCAAAGATAAAAAATAACAGTTAAAAAACAAAGCAGACAAACAAACAAACAAAAAAAAACCCCATTACTTTTAGCTTAAGTGAGTGAACCGTAACCTATATTCATGCCGGTAACATGGCACCCCTTCAGTTCCTTACTTCATTGGTGCTGATTCTGAATAATGTAAGAGTCTGACATCTGACCCCGTTTCGCAGCAAGGTATACTGCCGAATCATCTATCTGACACCAAGTTTGACATACATCGACTATTTATGGGTGTTTACTCTGGTCCACACGCCAACATAGTAGGTAGCAGTAATGCGTCTTAACGTTGGATGCCACCCGCCATTAAATCAAAGAAGAAGAAGAATTTGTGCTCGCGATACTTGTGAACTTCCGAGACTCTGTGAGATCACGAGAACACGGAGGTGATGTTAGAAGCGCAACGGGGTGACAAACTGATTTAACAACATGGATTTCATTGATCACAACTACTGCAGAGGTGGAGTGAAGGAGGAGGACCGGGACGCCGAGTTCACTGATCATGACTACTACAAAAGTGGACAAAAAGAACACGACCAGGACCCGTATTTCACCGACCAGGAGTACTACGAGAGCGGGACAGATCAGGACGTGGATTTCGTTGATTATGCGGGTCCGTCCTCTGGTCCCAGCGATCAACAGGTCAGTGTTTTGGGTATTTCTCGTACGTGGATTAATGGCAGATTACTTTATTTTATCGTTCATAGACCCGGAAGTAGTTTCCTTTCGCCACGAATCAGAATCAGAATCTGCTTTATTGGCCAGGTGTGTCGGACACACGAGGAATATGACTCTGGTACATCAGCTCTCAATGTGCATGTACATATCCCTGTGCAAGGGGCAAGTAAACAGTAAACCAGCATAAGGCTGTGTAATATAACAAATAAGCAGCATAAACAAGCATAAATCAGTGCAAACAATGCAAAATAAGCAGTATAAACAGGCAGTAAACAATGCAGACAGACAAGGAATGCTCATTGTCATTTCTTATAGAGTACTTAAAGATCCTGTATGGATCTGAATAGTCTGTACAATGTACATTTACAGGTATTTCACTGAGGTTTATTGTGCAGTCATACTATTGTGGCTCAAGTGTGAAGGCCGATGAAGAAGGGCGCCCGGTAAAAACAGCAGCAGAAACAAATCGCAGGCAAATGTTGCATATAACCACCTAAGTACAACCTAGTGTGACCGGGCCAATATACAGGCCGATGCAACCCAGACCCTAATAACTTTTAGTAGTTCCCCAAGAATAACACCCCTCCTATTCTCAGAGGTCAAATTCATGGAAACTTCACCAGTACTGATAACCCCAGATAAATCTGCAAACAGAGACGTTGGGGTTACTCACACAGATAAAACTTTATTTGAGACAGTGTATAACTTAACAGTGAAAATATTTAAAAAGGCCTAGCCCCAAAGCTAAAATATTACCTACAAGAAGAAGTTTCTCCCCACTCAGTAAATACAGTGCAGAGCGGGAATGAAATGGTCAGAGTCAACAAGTTGGAAAGGGCACCATTTAAATGAACACCACGAATCAATTAACCACACATCAACAAACCAAAGATAGGAGGGCCTTGTCTCCCTGTGCATCAAACCATTCACGCATTGTTCACACACACCATAAAACTGGCTAAACCCTACTTGGGAACATTACAATAAATAGGGCACACATTGCTAGGTAAACCTCTTAACATAAAAACAGAACAAAGAACAACAAAGCAAGGCAGAACAATACATAAGCAAAGCAGCAGTGGCTATCACCCCTGCAACGAGTAAAGTCACTGTTAATAAATAACATAGAAACATCAAAACAATTAAAACCAACAGCACTGCAGCATGTGCGATGGACGCCAACTTCTACTGGATCACGCTTGCATCAATTATCGCCCCTGGAGAGCATGCGATAATCCCCTGAAAACAGTCTACAACCAAAACAACCTGATTAAGCACTTTGCACTGCAACAGATCCGATCTGCAATCAGTCCATTGGACATACTTTACAGAGAAAGCAGGACGCAGATCCACTTCAAAAGCAGCGACCAGCACAGAAATTGCTTGTCGCAACAGCATATCCCCGGGTGTTATTTACTGTATATCCGTGATCTTTCCAGCAAATTACTCACCAGTTACACTAGGATAGGCCTTTACATCAAACAGTTACTACTGAAGAATGTCTGAATGCACTCTAAATTGCTACGGCTTATTGGGCTATAATTACAATTATTCCATTACAGTTTTCTAAAGGGTTCATGTTTTACAAAGACGTACCTTCGTGATAACACTCGTTTGGTCTGTTTTTGCATTCTGATTCTGACAAAGGCAGCTGTATATAGAGATAAACTACTGATGCATGTATATAGGCTGTGCGCGCTCCCTCAGACTGTAATCACTATATAGCAGACAGTCACTTTTTGGCACAACACCCCCCCGTTCAGACAGTGTTTCCAGAACTCATCGACTTGTATGAGGGATCTAAATGTAGCCCGCATGGGACACAATTATTGGGATCCTCGCAGCTTCAATGTCCAGCAGGTCACAGTTTATTTACACATGAAAAGATATGGAGTAACAAAACACGGAGTAGCAAAAGCAAGGGGTAACAAAATACGGCAGTGGACTATCCCACCAGAAGCTCACCAGCTATATGTTGGACACACTGCCACCAGCACCATCAGCATCTATAATATACCATCTTGTCAGATTTCTGATAGATGACTTCTTTCAAGTGTTGACACAACAGAATTCAGCAAGAGTTCAGCATATTTACTTACATAGGCTAAAGAAATCACAACGCTCCACTCTCAAGCTCAGTCCAACATAAAGAAGGGAGGGACCACAATACGTTTGGTCAAGCTTTGGTGGAACGTACACATCTCATTCCATACTGCCATCTAGTGGCCAAGGTACTAGGTGACATTAAACTCCAGTAGCCCATTGTAGGTTACTTTTACAGAACATCACCAAAATTGAACGGTGTTACACTGACAGGAAAACCATAAACACTGAATGGCAATTTGAATGTTGAAAACCTTTAGGGGACCTTTCACCATCAGTAGAAAACAATTTAGTTATTTATTTATCTCCCCTTAGTACATGCTTACCACCTGGCTACATAAAGTAAGATGTCTCCATCGGAAATGTGAATTCCTAGTATAACTGTAACCACATTCTAACTAGTTTAAATTCACATTAAAAATATTTTGTTTAGTCATAATTCCGGTTACAGATATCTTACAGATATATGTATATTATATATACAGATAAGTGTGACCTGGTTTGTATGTGATGGTGTGTCTTCAGATGGGTTTTGGTGCCAGTTTGAGTCAAATGTTAATACTTAAAATTTTTTTTATTTAAGGGCACAAGTGACCCTAAGGCAGAGACACTCCAAGCCCACAGTCGGCCGTCAGTGAACATCTGTCGCGGCTCTTCCTCCTGATGTGCCCCACACCTTTGCCACTAGTTAGTCCCTGTTTGCAGGCTTTTTGGCTGATTTGACATGTTCAATTGGCGTTGGGCCAGTTGGGTCTCGTTTGAGAGAGAGAGACCACTTTGAGTGGCTGTTCAGCTTTGTAAATCAATGCACGATTGAGGAAAGCCCCTTCAGCCTGTCTCTGTAGTATCCACGATTTCACCCATTTAGTCCAGTTTTTCTTTGTTTTTCTTCTTCTGCAGCCAAAAGACCAAAGGCAGAGAACAGCAGTGGCATTTGCAACTTATCAGACTAGAAGCAGCTATAAACAGCAGCAGTTTTGAATTAGAGGTGCTTTGTTTATAGCTTATACTTCTGCAGTCTAGCTCTTCTTCTTTCCCTTTCTAAAAGGAGCACACACATACCACTAACTGCTGGTAGGGGGAGTTATTTCTGTCATGCAGGTGCAGGGCGTACATGCTAGTTGGCCATTGGCTGTAGTCTGTGTGATGTGTTCAAGTGTCACTTTTTCAAACTGACCACCCCTTCCTCCCCGTCTCGCACAGACTCATAAACAATGTTAAACATAAACCTCTTTCTTGTACCCTCTCCCTTCTTTATAAAATGTCACAGTCTGGTTGCATATTTGTTCAGGCAATTTTTTTTTAGCATGCAGACCAAAACTGAGAAAGCTGTGGTGTTGTCTTCAAGGTGCACATGTGACAGAGCAGAAAAGAGGAGCAGGCCAAATTTGTGTGGACTTCAATTTGATCGAAGACAACAAATGATATCACTATGAGAATGTTTTAATACTATTTTCTTTGGCCCTTGAGACTTAATGCGACCTGTAGTATTTATCAATGATGCTCTTTTGCCTGAGAGATGATTAAATGATGGAAAAAAAAATCATGCACACACACACACACACACACACACACACACATACTGTACTTTTATGGTTCATCTTGCATCTTGCACTACCATGAAATCTAACTCTCCCTTTCTCTGTGTGTCTGTCATAGATGCAGAGCGGCACACAGATACCCAAAGGTCACCGCTGTCAGCAATGTGACCAAACCTTCAAAAGACCAACACATCTAAAGATTCATCAGAGAATTCATGCTGGAAAGAAAGTGTATAACTGTGACCAATGCGGGAAAATGTTTGCTTGTACAAGCATACTAAATATGCATCAACGAAGCCATACAGGAGAGAGGCCATACAGCTGTGACCACTGTGGGAAAAGATTTACTCTGAAAGGTGCCCTAAAAATTCACCGGCTAATTCATACCGGAGAAAAACCATATAGCTGTGATCAGTGTGGAAAAGCTTTTTCTCAGAAAAGTTATCTAAAATCCCATCAACTAAATCACAGTGGAAAGAGACCATACAAGTGTGATCAGTGTGGAAAATGCTGTATTCGGAAAAATGACTTAAAAATCCACCAACGGGTTCATATTGTAGAGAGGCCATACAGCTGTGATGACTGTGGAAAAACTTTCCCTCATCAAAGTTATCTAAAATCCCATCAACGAATTCACAGTAGAAAAAAACTGTACAAGTGTCGCCAGTGTGGAAGATCTTGTTCTTGGAAAAGTGCGCTCAAGATCCATAAACGTATTCATACAGGAGAGAGGCCATACAAGTGTGACAAATGTAGGAAACGTTTTGCTCAGAAAAGTACCCTGAAAACTCATCAACTAGTTCATTCTGGAGAAAACCCAGTGAGACCGTATGAATGTGGCCATTGTGGAAAAACTTTTATTACGAAAAGTCACCTTAAAACCCATCAACAAATTCATACTGGAGAGAAACCGTACAGCTGTGACAAATGTGGAATATGTTTCACTCAAAAGGGTTCCCTAAAACGACATGCACGCATTCACACTAGGAGAATGTACATTAAATACACCAACATCAAATAGTCTGAAACCCTGCCAACACATTTTCGAGCTCTGAACAGACCAGGCCAGCCATTTTCTCCTGCTTTGTCTTTATCTTTAATGTGTCCTGACTCACTGTGACTGATAATAAAAATGTTTATAACTCACTCTGACAAACAGTAAATAAACATTTGTCACCAAATTTCGTATTACTCTGTTAAGAAATACACTAACATATTAATAAAAAAAAATTTCAATTGTAGATTTTTTGGCTGAGTCACTCTTGAATGACTCGAGTTTTTTTTCTTTTTTTCTTGCAAAAATAAAATGTTACAGCACCAAATCAGAAAAAGTTTGGATGGTAAGTAAAATCAAAATTAAAACTGAAAATAGTAATGTGTCCTCTATTACACTGAAAACAAAACATCAGCACATTATTTGATGTGATGCCTCTTCATTTTTATTATTCAATTAAAATAAACACTTCATTCTGATGCCTGCAACTCATTCCAAAAAAGGTTGAGACAGTAAAGTGTTTACCACGGTGTGATGTTGCTGTTCCTTTTCACAAGGCTTAAAAACAGCATAGGGATTGAGGACACCAAGTGATTTAAGTGTGTCAGGTATCGCTTGTGCCATTCTTTCTTCGTTGTGCATGTCTTTGGACTGTGAGAGGAAGCTGCAGTACCCAGAGAGAACATACAAACTCTGCACTGGGTCAGCTGGGGCTTGAACCAAGAACCTTTTTGCTATAAAGCAACAGTGCTAATCACTGCACCACCATGCTGCTCAGAGAAGTAACATAAATGATAGAAACCATACACATCTAAAGGACTGAAAAAACTTTCTCATTAATCCCAAATAGACGTTGAGAGATTTGCAGTAAATGATCCATTTCTCTTCTGTGCAAAATTTGCATGTTCTCCCTGTGCCTGTGTGTGCTTTCTCCAGGTGTTCCAGCCTCCTTCCTCAGTCCAAAGACATGCAGCTTAGCTTGGTTGGTAATTCTAAATCGCCCGTAAGAGTGAGTGTGGTTGGGTAGAAATGTCTGAGCTATGGTGTTGGTTCACTACACTGAAGAAGGCAGCTATGCTGAAACAGCTATAATTTTTATCAGTCATGACTGTGGCAGCCAAAAAACAGTTTGTAAAATATGTCACTGTACATGTCATCTGAAGTGCAGCCATGTGGAGAAGCACTTAAAATTAAGAGTTTATTAAAATTGGTTTGCTTGGTTGTACAATCTTGGACTGACACAATCCAGTAGAGGGCAGCAAAGACCAGTGTACAACAGAGAATCTCACTGCACTGTCACTGCTGTTTGCTCAATACTTCAAGGAGATGCACATACCATATAGTAGTTAGTCTAATAAAATTTGATTAATTCCTAGACATCAGCTGGTCTGGTTCTGGTACCACCTACCCCACTGACACAAATACAGAAGTAAAAGCAGAAATGTAGAAATAACTGAATAAATAGATGTAGATATAGTAATAGATATTTATTACCAACATTTATTTTACTTTTCAGGCTAGATTCTTTCTTTTATTTATCTTATTAAAATATATTTCTTTATTTGTTTGGATATTTTTAAACTTTTATCTGCAACAATGGCATCTTTAAACAGTTAGTGTAGTAATTAAAGGACCTAAATCATTTGTTTAACCCCTTCAACAACAATAATTATAGATGAATACCAAGAAAAGGTTTAAATCAGTGTGAATATATGTTTTGTAATTGTTATACTTATCTCTACAAAAAACTTAGAAACTCAAAAACAGTCAGTTTGGGGCTTTTCTAAGTCCCATTTGGTGACATGAACAAGTTGCTGAGAAACAGGTCATCCATCCATACATTATCTATATCTCTTATTCCTGAATAGGGCAGCAGGGGCTGGAGCCAATCCCAGTTGGTCCACCCTGGACAGGTCTCCAGCCTATCACAGGGCTGACACTTAGAGACAGATAACCACACACACTCACACTCACTCCTATGGGCAATTTAGCCACCACTCAACTTAAGCTGCATGTCTTTGGACTGTGGGAGGAAGCCTGAGCACCCGGAGAACATGCAGACTCCGCACAGAAAGGCCCTGGGTCAGCCGGGGTTCAAACCCTGAACCTTCTTGCTGTGAGGCGACAGCACGAACCACTATGCTGCCCTTTTCTGAAATTCATTTTTTACCTAAAAAATACAGAAGTATTTACATCTTGACACTAGAAATTGGGTTTTGTCTATTAATAAAGCTGAATCTATAATCATTTAATTCAAATTTGTGATAAAAACTAATTCCTACAATTAATTATTTTCAGAACCACCTTTTTAACTGACATACGCAGTTTTAAAAGTAAAACTTACCTTCACGTCCCTCAAAATTAAACCCAAAATTAAACAGATAGTGTTGAATAACGTTGGCAAATAGGTCTTTCCCCAGCCCGTAGCACTCTACAAGTGGCATGGTCACAGGTCTTTTCCCCGGCCTTTCACACGTGGTTTGGTCCTCCAACCGGCCCTCTAAGCTCTAGTGCCTGGTGCACAGAAGGAAAAAACTGAGGTAGCCATCAGCGTTATATTTTTCTCTTGATTTCATTCTTCCTGCAGCGGTATATTAGGAATATACCTACTTAGGTATATTCATTGAAACATTTTCAGCCACTTCATAATTCCACTATACTACATTTTAAAGGGAAAACTGAACTTTTTAATATATTAGATTTACTAGGCAACATTAGCTACATTTCAGGTCAATAAAGCATAAGATTTATTGATCCAAGGTGGAAATTCAACATGTCCACTGTATCCTAATGCAAAGTGAGCTGGCTAAAATGACCTCCACCTTTACATGCTATAACAGCATGTAAACATATTACATCAATATTTATCAACCTATAGTAGAATATATAGTAGGTCGTACATTAATGTGCAAGGTGTTAAGTATTCTGTACTTCATGTTTATTCAGATGCTAAAGTACTTAAGTAACATCAGGAATGCATGACTTTTATATGTAACAGAATATTTTTACTATAGCATTTTTACTTTTACTGAAGTAAATAATCGGAGTACTTCCTGCACCACTGCTTTTAGGTCATTTTTAACATACATAACACCTTCCTAATATTTTGATCCTTTCATGTATGTAAAACATAAAGAGACCTCTGAATATAATGTAGTCCATTACAACACCTCCTTTAACTATGACCTCAATAATCAAGGATCAAAAATTTTTATTGTCAATTCACTATATGTGCAGGCCATACAGAAAATCGAAATACTGCTTCTATCTAACCTAGTATTGAGCACCATGCTATTTAGGAAACTAAAATAGAATAAAAGTAGAGTAAAAATAGACTAGAAAAGAATAAGAAAATTAAATCAAAGTGATTAGGATAAAGCCAAACAATACAACCTCATAGGCAATGACTAAAACCATGTACAGTCAGTGACAGTAGTGCAAATAATAACAAGAAGATTGTCAGATGGTTGTGAGATTGAGATGCACATGGACAGTAGTACAAATGACCGTCAGCCAAATGACCAACAGCAGCAGATACGATGTTAAAAAACAGTCAGCAGCAGATTTACATATAATATAACAAAAAGGGGGAAATGTATTGAGTTTGTGCAACAGCAGGGGTAGTCTTTTTATGTTCTGTGGTGGGTCACAGTCCAGGGGCAGAGGTGGGGAGGTAATGGACAGCATTTCAGCATCCTCACAGCCTGGAGGATGAAGCTGTTTGTAAGTCTGGTGGAGTGGGCCTGAAGACTCCGATACCTTCTCTCTGAAGGCAGGAGTCTGAAGTGGGAGTGTGAGGGGTGGGAGGTGTCATCAGCAATGCTGATGGCTCTGTGGGTGAGGTGGGTGTTAAAGATGTCTGTGAGGGAAGGCAAAGAGGCACCGATGATCTTGCTGGCTGTTTTCACTATGCGTTGCAGGGTCCTTCTGTGTGGTACGGAGGCAGTACAGCCTCCGTACCACACAGTGATACAGCCAGTGATGATGCAGTCAATGGTGCCCTGGTAGAAGGAGCACATGATGGGGGGTGGGGCACTGGCTCTCCTCAGTTTGCAGAGGAAGTAGAGGCGTATTTGAGCTTTCTTGGCCAGTGATGTGGTGTTGTTGGTCCAGGAGAGGTCCTCAGAGATGGACACTTGGGACTCAAAACCTCTCTCTGCAACTGGGTGCTGGACTTTCTAACAGGGAGGCCACAAAATGTGCAGGTCATCAGCAACATCTCCAAGACCATCACGCTGAGCACAGGGGCTCCACAGGGGTGTGTGCTCAGTCCATTGCTCTTCACACCGCTGACCCACGACTGCGTGCCAACCTACAGCACCAACCACATTGTCAAGTTTTCAGATGACATGACTGTAGTTGGCCTCATTACCAACAATGATGAGGCCAACTACAGTAGTGAGATGTCCCAATTGGTCCAGTGCTGTAAGGACAACAACCTCTCCCTCAATGTGGGGAAGACTACAGAGATCATTGTGGACGTCAGGAGAAAACTTCTAAAGCATCCACCTCTGACCATCGATGGTGCTGTAGAGAGTGAGCAGCACCAAGTTCCTGGGGGTGCACAAGTTTTTGTATAAGCTGCTGGGGAATGATTGTGTTGAATGCTGAACTGAAGTCTAGGAACAGCATTCGCATGTAAGAGTTCTTTGAATCTAGGTGGGTGAGGACTGGATGGAGAACAGCAGTAATGGCATCCTCTGTGGACCTGTTTGTCCTGTATGCAAACTGAAATGGGTCATGAGAGGGAGAAAGGATGGACTTGATTTTCTGCATGACCAGCTGCTCAAAGGATTTCATAATAATAAACATATAATTGAATTTATACATTTATGACAACTGTAACATTTTCAGCTTCATAAACACAGATGTTAAGGTGGAAGTGTTATGACCTTATTGTATGATTTTTATTAATATCGTTTTATATATATTTATTTTATTTTATTTTATTTTTTTCAACAATGCATGTTGAAGACATGTATATTTAATAGAAAATTCTTTGGTCACATGCTTGTGTGACTTGGCCTAAATGGAAATGTTATGTTTTCACAAAATCATGACTTGAATAAGTTACTGTATGCATGACAGCAGTAAAGTTTACACATATTGTCTTATTTATAGAAAAGGTATATATATATTTATATTTGAGTGTGAATTTGACAGTTATTCATGAAAATTAGACCTTACACTCTGGGGAGTGTTTGTGTGACTAGGTGTACAGATGTGGAGTTTTTCTTAAGGGAAAACATACCGTATTGTTCAAGTGTTTTCAAAAACACAGGGGTTTTTCCATCCATCCATTTTCCTCCGCTTATCCGGAACCGGGTCACGGGGGCAGTAGTCTAAGCAAAGACTTCCCAGGGTTTTTTTTGTGTTTTTAAAACTTAAGCTTTAGAGAATATTTATTTATTATTTACAAAATCTGAACAAATGTGAGAAAATGAGATAGAAAGAATAAAAACTGAACTGATAAATATAGAATAAGGGGATTTCTATAGATAATAGCATTGTTATAAATGTAACAACTTGTGCTTTTCTGATTTCATTGTTTTTAGCGATTTAATACCAACAATTCAACTATTTATACTGTAGGTGTGGAACCACTGGTGACAGCCAATTACAGAAATCAATCCATTTAACCATTTTTAAAAGTTATTTATTAAAAAGAAAGATGTGTTTTTAATGTCATTGTTACAGAATGAGCATGTGTTGTTATCTATGTTGGAGTGAAGCCTTAAACATTCTCCAGAGTGATAGATGTTATTCATAATTTTAAAATAGAGCTCCTTTGTTTTGGGGGATATGGGTAGTGAAGAGAAAGCTGCTCCATCCCTATCGAACTGTGAAAGAATGTCATTATTTTGTTTACTTGGGCAGAGGTTCTCTGTGAGGCATGTCCTGATAAAAACAGCTACAAAATCTTTAGTAGATAATAGAGCAAGCTGTGGGAGTATCCATGACTGCCCAGGCCTCATCAAGCTCCTTTTGTCTTCCTGTTTGAATACACAGATTAACAAATGAATTGCATTCAGATTATTAAATGTACACTGCTTATAAATAAACCTGGTCTTGCTAAATACTGTAGACCTACTACCAGATGTGTAGCCTATACACATCTGGTTTTTCAGATTGCCCTGCAGTAGGCCCAGGATGCTCAGCAAGGAAGTGTCACACCACTAATGACATGTTGCAAAACATCAAATGTTCTGGCGGATAATCATATTTACATCTTTGTCATTAACTGTTTGACTCCAAAAGTATGGGACAGATGTATGTCCATGGTGTCACTGTAAAGCAAAACATACAGTTTTCATTGTTTTACAATTACCCTAGATGGTGAAGACAAAGCAAATAAGATGTTTATTCATCTTTAAAAGGCTGTAAATAAGTCACAGTGTCAGCTGTTTACATCATATCATCCTCAGCATGTCCTTAATGTCTGTACTAAATTTTAGGCTGACACAAAGAAGTGGCTCCAAGATGTGAGTTCAGAGAGCGCAACAGCAACCAACCACCAGCAGGTGTCTGTAGAGCACTTGACAATCACTGAATGCTAAAAGATCCCATTAGAAACAGATGGGACTCACCAAGTTGAAATGGCTGTTGATAAATGTGTTGTTTACACACATATTCAGAAACAGTACAGGTTTGAAAAATCTGTTTATCATGTGTGTTTTATAATAAAATGATTAGTGTTATTTTGTGAGTTCTTAGTTGAACAGAGAATTCAGTCCATCTTTATAGATTTATTGAATACACCACATAAACACTATTTGAAGAAGAGTAAAAGTCATAAATATTCACTGCCTCAAAAACAAAAAGTACAGAATGACCTATATACAACTGAGTCCAGCTGCTTAGACAGCATAAAATGATGCTGGACAGATCACATGAAACTGGATCATAGTATGCTGACAGCAGTTCCTTGTTGCGGTGAAGCAGTGTTTTTTTGGTCTGCTGCTGACTTGATCTTAGATTATCTCTTTGATATCCTCCAAAGCACCTGGAACAGGTACCTTTTTTTTTATTGTCTTTAATGGTTCACATGGTTACATATTTTGTGTAGGCTTTATTCATGGTGATCTTGTGTGTATCAAACCACTTCATTAAGAGGAACTCTCTTTTTCTTATTCACCATACCGTTTGTTTTTTTTAAATCTGTCTCTCTATGTATAGTGCCACCCACCACAGTCTTTTCTGGAGGAGGTCCAGGAAAGGAATAGGACTGTTGTAAAAAATAATCTACATAGACTGTGTAACTTTGCCAGAGAAAATGAATATTCAGCAGCTTTCACCTGTTATCTGTGGCATCACCTTCTTTTTCTGTGTACAAGAGGGTGTTGCCATAAATAAACTGTGTCCCAATTGAGGGGACGCATCCTTTGAAGGCTGCATTTGAAGACCGATTGCGTCACAGCGGCACAACAATACCATCCCATTTCGAAGACTCCTTCAAATGCGGCCAAGAAATGCATCCTTCTTTTGCCAGGCAATGACGGCTCCGCCGCATGGATCTTTCCCAGCCCACCCTATCCCAAGATTCTTTGCATGCCAGCAGAGAGCAGAGCTGCTATCAAGGTTGCTAGGAAGTGGTGCTGTGTAATGCAATGGTGAGGGCAGTTGGTAATGTAAATATGAAATCCTCTGTAGAGCAGACCGGCTCATTTCAGTATAGCCCATGGTTCAGTCTTTGTGGTCTATGACACATACATAGGCCACACTTTCATAGACTGGGTCCTTGAAAGAAAGTGGCCCATGAATTGAGACAACTATAAAGGCCACTAAAACATAATATTAAAAACAGGTTACAGTATATACTTAGCCTACAATAAGTACACATCTTCCTTTGGTTTTACTACAACAGGTACAGAGTTCACCATTGTATTATACAGTATGTCACATTCATCTTACAGTCTGAGTTGACTGCTGATAAATTGGCATTGTTATTAATGGTTAATTGGAATCTAAAGATAAATACTTCAAAACATTTTATTAGCCATTTCACTCCTTCCAAATTACACTCCTGTTAAAAATTTCACCAGGGTGTTGGCTATATTTCTTTCTTGACAGATTAACAAAATATTAGCATAATATTTTGACTTATCACCAGTGTAAGAGAAAGTTCTATCAAGAGTTAGGATAAATTTAACATAAAAACCTGAAGGTTGCAGAAAACCGGTGGGTTTTTAGACTACTCGGTAAAGGCAATCCCTGATCATTGTGGTCATACCATTACAGTACATCTCCAGTGCGAATGTGTTGGTGCCTTTCCAAGTCACACTTACGTTTTTCCACACTGGTCACAACTGTACGGTTTCTATCCATTGTGCAGCCGTTGATGGGAATTTAGGTGACTTTTCCAAGTAAATGTTTTCCCACACTGATCACAGCTGTACGGTTTCTCTCCAGTGTGAATACGTTGATGTTGCTTTAAACTACCCTTTGTAGTGAAAGTTTTTCTACACTGGTCACAGCTGAATGGTTTCTCTCCGGTGTGAACTCTTCTATGGGGTTTTATGTAACTTTTACGAGTAAAGGTTTTTCCACATTGGTCACAGCTGTATGGTCTGGCTCCAGTGTGAATTTGTTGATGTTTTCGCAAGCTACTCTTTAATGTGAAAGTTCTTCCACACTGGTCACAGCTGTATGGTCGCTCTCCAGTGTGAGTCTGTTGATGTTTTCTTAAACTACTATTTACAGTGAAAGTTTTACCACATAGGGTACATCCATATGGTTTCTCTCCACTGTGAATTCGTTGATGTTGTTTTAAACTACTCATTGTAGTGAAAGGTTTTCCGCATTGGTCACACCAGTATGATTTCTCTCCAGTGTGAATCTGTTGATGTTTTCTTAGGGTACTCTTTTCTGTGAAACTATTTCCACATTGGTCACAAATAAATGGTTTCTCTCCAGTATGAATTCTTTGATGGGCTTCTAGGTTACTAATCCGAGTAAAACATTTTCCACATTGGTCACACCTGTATGGTTTCTCTCCAGCATGTACACATTTATGGACTTTTAGATGACAGAGTGCAATGAAGCATTTCCCACATTGGTCACAGCTGTATGGTTTCTCTCCAGTATGAATTCGTTGATGAGTCTTCAGATGACCTTTCCGAGTATAGGTTTTGCAACATTGGTCGCAACTGTATGGCCTCTTTCCGGTATGAATGCGTTGATGAGAATTAAGGTCATATATCCGAGTAAAGGTTCTTCCACACTGGTCACAGCTGTATGGTTTTTCTCCAGTGTGAATTTGTTGATGATATTTTAAGTTACTTTTTTGAATATAGCTTTTCCCACATTGGTCACATCTATATGGTTTCTCTCGGTAATGAATATGGCGATGTTGTTTTAAGCTATTCTTTTGAGTGAAAGTTTTTCCACATTGCTCACAGGTGTATGGTTTCTCTCCAGTGTGAATTTGGTAGTGAGAATCAAGGTGACTTTTCCGAGTAAAAGCTCTTCCACACTGGTCACACCTGTATGGTCTCTCTCCAGTATGAATTTGTTGATGTTTTTTTAAGTTACTCATTTCCGTGAATGCTTTTCCACATTGGTCACAACCGTATGGTTTCTCTCCAGCATGAACTCTCTGATGAATCTTTAGATGTGATGGTGATGGGTAGGCTTTGTCACATTGCTGACAGCGGTGACATTTGGGTCTCTTTGTGCTGCTTTGTTTCTATAGTGACAAAGAAAATCACAGAGGAAGGGACAGTTAGATGTCACAGTGGCATGAGATGTCTAAAACCATATAGTCACTGGCCATGAGAGTGCACACTTGTCTTGGATCAATTAACCCAGCTTTTCTAATCCACAACACAGGTGGGAGATGGAGAACCTAAACATCCAGATAACCTTAGCTGGCATTAGAAAAGGACTGCTCATTTTATCTAGGGTCTGTTTAGCAGCGTATGAAGAATAACCCCCTGGATTTTATAGCTAACATTTAAGGATGCTTTTGAGATTGTTGTACCTAGTTTTCTTGCTCTTATTAATCGCTGCTCAAGTACAGTGACTGTCCCAGCGGCATTTAAATAAGCTGTTTTCCAGCACCTTTTTAAAAAGCCAAATCTAGACCGGTGTCTAAATTGTCTTTTACTACAACCATTTCTGAAAGACAATGGTTTAAATCATATTTATCTAATAGAGGTTTTGCAGTAAATATTGGTAGCTGCTCATCCCATTCAGTCCCCCTTGTTCTGGGGGTCAGTTCTCTGTCCTGTCCTGTTTTCATTATACATGCTTCCACTGAGGTCTGTCTTGGAGGAGTATGACTTCCCTTTTCATTGCTATACAGACAATATCTAGATCTACTGTATGCACCTTTAAAATCAATAAGGGGCACTTCATTACAGCCACTATTCGACTGTCTGAGGGACATAAGAACTTAACTAGCACTCAATTTTTTACATTTTGCATTTCGCTGATTACTGTCTCACCTTCAGATGGTTCAAAATGCTGCTGCCCATCTCTTGACAAGCACACATAAATATGACTATATAACCCCTATTTTAAGCTGTTGATTTTTGTTTTTTAGGCTTTATGGACTGGCACCTCTATATTTCTGTGACCTGCTACTGTGGCACAAGCCAGCAAGATCTCCTGGGTCATCAAACTGAATCAAAGTTTTTATTAGAGGTTCCAAGGTCTAAGGCACCAAGGTTAGGGCAATCGTGCTTTTGCTGTAGTGGCAGCTGTAAATACAGTGTTTCCCTAGGATGATTGGTCAGGGAGGGCAGCCCTGCCGGGGGTGGGGTGGTAGCAGAAACACTGCTTTATATGGGTCATTGATTTAAAGTTTCTAACAAACCAAAGGCGTCTACAGCCTACATGATGATCAGTGGTGTATTTTAAATGTACAGAGTTTATCTGATTCCCAACTGAATTCTTGACTGTGTCAATGTTATTACTGGCTTCACTCACTGCAGCTCAGAATAACACCCATAAACTCTGTAGTGATCTTTTATTAGAAAAAAATCCACACACTGTTAAATATTTCCCCTGATTATAAAAGAACAAACAGGTGAGGTTGACTTTAGGTTCAACTCCTCTCCAAAGTCCTCTCCTCTCTGCTCAGGAGCGCAGAAACTGTTGACATTAATCATTTTTTACTAACATATGTTCACAATACTAACATGCACTGAGGTACGTGTTAATTGTGCAGATAGCCTAGTTTCTGTCAACACAAGTTTTGACTATTGACTGTATTTGATGGACATTGTGAAAGCTCCAGAAGTGCCACTGTGAGTTGATCTAGACCCAGGTGGCTGGTTGCTGTACAGGTCATATATCCTCTATGTTAGCAGATGCGACATGAGCCAAATTGAAAACTCAAAATGCCTAACTATATGTGTGTCTATATATTCTGATTTATGTTGTTAAATAAAAATGAAAAAACTAAACAAATACCAAGATACTATATAATTTTTCGATGACAGGACATGAGATTAACTCATTCTTTAATAATATTAGTCTTAATATTAGTATTAGAGTGAAGTTAATATTCAGATGAAAAACTGAGTAGAGTAAATCATCAACCTCTTTTTAAAATGTATAAATAAGGATGGAATTAAGATACTGTTTCTCATTTTTTATTTTGTATGCCTTAGCGGTCATCTCCAAACCGGAAGGTTGGAGGTTCGAATCTCGGTGCCTGCAGTCCACACGTCGAAGTGTCCTTGGGCAAGACACTGAACCCCCAAGTCACCCCTGATGGTTAGAGCCATTGGTTCAGTTGGCTCCACAGATGGCTGCCTTGGTTCTGTACCGGAAACAAATTCCTTGTGTGTAACATACTTGGCCAAATAAAGGTGATTATTATTAAAAATGATGATGATGATTATTATTAATTTACCCTGTCTCCAAAAGAAATCAATAACCACAAATGAGCTTGGTGAGATATTATTGTGTAAAACTTACTAGATTCTACATCAGTCCCATGGAGGCCATCATGGTCCATGTACATAATGGATTTTCGTTTTGAAATGAGAAAAGCAAAATCAAATGAGGTGTTTTGAAATTCCCATTTAGAAATAAGGAAACAAAAAATGGAAAATGGGTTGTTTCTCAGTCCATATATCATCTGATCATCCAATTATTGATTTAACCTGCAAAAAAAATAATTTTCATAATAAAGCATGAAAACAAATAAACAAGAAAACCAAAAGCAAAAAACAAGTCTTATTCTGCTTTTCTGTTCATGGATTTCTGACTTTTCTTTACCCAGCACATGCGCAGACAGTGACTATTGTGCCCGTTCCCACATTTAAATGAATTCTTATGCAAAATGAACTGTCAGTTTAGCAGTGATGACAGACTGCCTGCATTATGTTAAATATTCATACGGATTAGCTTTTAATTAATAATTAGTAACCAGAGTTACACTTTTACAAAATGTACAAGCTACATCACACATTAACCTTTCACTTTTTTGCAGGGGGTGGGACTTTTACCTCATAGCCTACTGTGTGTCTGTGTATCCTCTGTATGGTGTCTCTGTGTAAAGTTATGTATTTAATACCTGAACATTATTCCCAAAAGGTTAATCAGAGGTGACAGACGACTCTTGCTTGTTGTGAACGTAGCCTATGTTAGACTCATATACTATAACCTACAGCATTTTCCACAAATAGAAACTTCCTGCATTAAACCCCACAGGGTCTTTCATCTACACATGTGTGCATTGTGATGCGAAATTGTTTATGGTGTAGTTAGAAAGAAAGTTACTTTCGGCTTTTCCCGTTTAGGGGTCGCCACAGCGAATCACTGACGACTCACATATCGACATTTGGCACGTTACGCCGGATTCCCTTCCTGACGCAAGCCTGATCCGAACCCGGGGCACAGAGGCGAGAGTGGTGCACCTTAACCACTAGCCAACCAGGGACAACTGTTTATGGTGTAGTTAAATGAAAAATTTATAATGAGAATAAACTATAGCCTATAAGTGTTCACGTTATATAATGGCATCTAGTGGCTATGCATTGTTGAAGCACCTTAATTAGTTGACCTAATGAAGTGCTTGTAAGATCTGTTTTCTGTTCCATCATTCATCACATCACCAAAATGAGCCCAACACAGCTCATCTTCCCCTTCATCAGAGGAGCAGGAGGTCAAACAGGCAGCAGATCCACACTGCAGAGAATTGTTAAACTACATCTGTGTGGGGATTATTTTGAGGAGGACTCTTGAGAATAATATACGAGTTATTAAATACAAAACTTTACACAGAGATATCACACAGAGGCTACATAGGCATAGTGATATCCCAAACAGAAAAACAGAGTAAGACTTTTTTTTGGTTTTGGTTATCTTTATTTGATTTCATGCTTTGTTATGAAAACAGAAAAACAATGCAATGATTTCCCTTTTTTCATGTCTACAAAAAAAGAACCATTTATCCATTTTCTCATTTGCAGCTTATATCAAACAAATGAATGATCAGGGGATACACAGACCTTTCTCATTTCTTATGACCGAGGGCAGTGCTTCGCTACATACATAAGAGAGGTGTGTGGGCTCTGGCTGCATCCACACAAAATCCTTCCTGCAGGATTGTGCAGAGGTGTCACTGTGTTTCCACTGCCTGGTACTGGCTCAACTCAACTCGACCAGGTGCCTTGTTTTCCACTGCAGATAGTACCACCATGCTGAAACTGTCATGAAGTCACTGGGCCATGGTGGTGGCAGGACAGGCTCAAAGCTGTTATAATTTTCATCCTAAGACTGTTAATATGCCATTTTATTGAGTTCTGATAGTTTTTCAGGTGAGAAAATAACCACTGACCACATATTTTTACAATATGTAGTCAATCTATCCAAGTAATGGAGGTTACAAATTTTAAAGAGGTTACAAATGTTTTCAGAGATGTGATGACCTGCTAATGAGCTAGCTAGCACTACTTAGCAGGCATAACTGTAGCCACTGTGCTCCTATTATCACATTCAGTAGCCTACAGGCTACATGATAAGATGTACGATGTGGTGGTTCACGTACTATAATGGTGGCATCCAGGATGGGTTGGCATAGTGGCCAAGCCGCATTACTACAACCTTTGCATTCATCCTGCGATGCACACTTGCCCAAGAAGCAATTTTCCTATAGAGAATCATTGGAAAAGGAGTGGCTGTAAAATGGTAAATAAAATTTTTTGAGTGTCACAAACCCTTGCGAAATGACTTTTTCTATTATAGTAATTTGATTCATTGGGTCTATACTACATGGAAAATACAGTTTAGCTGTAGGATATTTTCATTTTATCCCTTTCATGTGTGCATGGAGCCAACCTGAATTCACCCGGCTCATCCAGCAGGTGATTCAGCTCGACGCAAGTGCGCATAGTCTATGGGCCCAAAAATGTAGAAGTGTGTAGAACATCTGGATAATTTTTATGGCTGGAATTTGGAAGCCTGATGATTTTTTTTCAAAGTATGTGCCACTGAGCAACTTTTATAGGAATGAATGCTGTCTGGTAATGCTGTATTCAGATTTCTATTAGGGACTAAGCGGTATAGACAACAAGAGAGAGAGATTTCTATTAATACATTCATGTTGTCATCACATGTAAACATCTGGGTTTATCGGTGCCAAGATGGCCATGTAGTAATGACATATTTCTCTGACCAGTCAATAATATGTAATGTTTACACATCACCATTTGGTGTCACCCCAGCTCACTTGGAACCTTGACTGAGGTGATACCAAAAATAGGTCCAGGTACAAGGTACTATCCCTGACATTTGACTGATGGAAAAACAACTAAGGCGAGTAGTCGAGTCGAACTAAACCAGCACCAGGCAGTGGAAAAATGACTAGAAATATGTACTATAGAACATAAACAACCATCGTACAAAGAGTTTTTTTTATCTTTTTGTTTCACTATGTTATTCTCACTAACCCTCCTCCCTGTCTTCATTCACTCTCTGGCCTGCTCATCCACCTTTGTGCTCTCTTTCTCTCTCACACACACACTCTGTCTCTCTGGAGCAGGTAGTGAAATGTGGGCACAGTTTTCCCAAACACATTAGAGAAAGAGAAAGAGGGAGGGAGCAGCAGTGGATACAAAATATGGCAACTTTGCTGACATGAACTGTACCTTTTGTAAGAACCATTTAGAAGGTGTTATGCATTTGTTCTCGCAATGCAAAATTAGTCAAATTCTGGAAAAATGTGTAATTCAATTAATACTTATTTTCTTCTGAATTTCACATTCCAGTTTGAAAACACAATTTCTGTTTTCACAAATTACAATAATCAGTCTGTCTATTCTACAGGTTAATTATTTTATACATAAGTCCAAAATTCTCCAATGTTAAACCATCTCTACCTGCCTTTTTAAATTATGACTTTGTACACTGATTATGTTTCTATCTCTCGTAATAACAGCTAGAAAAACTAATAAGTTATGTTGTATGTAATGTCTTTGTAAACATGTCAACGTCCGTATCTTTCCCCCTGAGTGTGTTCAGTGTTTTCTCGGTTACTGCCCTTTATAGTCAGGGGACAAAAGGGAACCAGGGCGATGCTAACTTCCGGGTTGGCCAACAAAAATACGTCACCCCTGTGGCACTCTATTCGGCGGAAGGTTACCAGTTAATCTGGTCACGGGCAGATCTGTTACACCGGTTTATTTACCAGTTTGCTTATCACGTTACTCGCTTCAAAAATGGTTAAACACACAATGTGTATTGCTGATGAAAACACGTAAGAACAAATCTTAGACCGTTTGTTATTCTGGCTTTTACAATAACTGATCTAAAATCAGAATGAACGGATGACAGGCCTACACGGATCCTCAGGGTGCGTTTTCATGAAGGCCTATTGACTTTCGTTATGAAGCCGTTTTCATCGATT